GAGAAGAGAAGAGAAGAGAAGAGAAGAGAAGAGAAGAGAAGAGAATCTATTATATTATGCAATGAAGAAAATTTTGAAGGTGCTCATAATCCTTACATTTCTAAATGAAATATTCAATAGAAAAATATCAAAAAGCAGAGGCAGAGAGACTAGGATATAATTGCATCTTCAAGCCAGCTTCAATTTTGATATTTTTCTTGCCAAAGTTTACAATATGCTTCCTGATTTACTGGGAAACTACTCCACCTTCTGGAGTTCCAAGCAGAATAACTTCTGTTTGTTTTCAATGAACTCTGAGAGCAACTGATGCTGTAGCACTTTTGAAGCTTACAAAGGAGGGGATCTAAAGAGTTGTTTTGAAAGTATGGGCCATCTCTCAATCAGCTCATTCAGCACGGGTAGTCCTCAACTTACAACTGTTCATTTAATGAGCATTTGAAATTATGATGGCATTGGACGAAGGGACTTGCGACTGGTGCCCAAAGTTACAAATGTTGCAGCACCTCTGCAGTCATGTGATTGCGATCAGAGCTCTTGGCAACCAATTCACACTTACAACAGGCTGACATGATCGTGTGGTTGCCATTTGCAATTTTAACTGCTGACTTCCTCAGAAAATCAACAGGGAAACGCTGCAGAGCGGCAGAGGTTGAGGACCTGGCTCACATCCTATTTCACTGCTGCCTGTATAAGAGGGTGAGAGACAGGTACCTGGGCCTATACACTAAACGAATGACCCATTGGGACCCCCATATCAAAATTACTTACCTTATGTGTGGCCAGAATTTGAAAATTACATTTAACACAGCACAGTACCTGAGCGAAATGGTTCGGCTGAGATCGGCATATGTGAGACTGATTGGGGTAGATGGTAGGGGTGATAGTGAAATATAATTTCATCGTATTTTATCTATCTACATCTTAAATTGCCGTATTTGAGTCTAATTTCATTTTTAAAATGTATTTTATCCCAATTTCATTTTAAATTGTATTTTATTTCTATTTTATCCTAAATTATACTTTAACCAATTCCATTCTAAATTGTTTTTACTGCATTTTAGTATAACGTGTGTTTGGAACTCTGCACCTTGATACGGCCCACAGGCTAATTAATAAGGACTATTATTATTATTATTATTATTATTATTATTATTATTATTATTATTATTATTATTATTATTAACAGGGAAACAGGCTGGGAAGGTCACAATGATTTTGTTTTTCTGGTGCCCTGCCCTGCTCTCCTTGGGAGATTTCTCCACAGTGTGCACCACCTTCTTTTCACATTGTGGACTAGAAAGATTTCCTAACCTTCTGTCACATAAAGGGGAGGGGAGCCGGCATGCCAGACCAGAGAAAGAAGCTGGGGGTCATCAGAATCCAGGACTTCCTTTCTCCAGCCCAGCCTACCTGCCCTTTTTCAGCAAGCAGCTCTTTCACTTCATTCAACAATGAGGTGGTCATATGGCTGCCTGCCTTAATAACTGCAATGACTACGTGGGACAATTCTACGTGGGACAAATGTCGCATCAATTCAAAACCAGGATCCACGAACACTGGCTGGCAGTCAAACACCACGATCCCAAATCCTTAATCTCTACCCACACTGACAGCAAACAAGACCAGTTCGATTGGAGCAACACTAAAATCATCGGCCATGCTACCACCCGCCACGCTTGTGAGTTCATCGAAGGCTGGCACTCCACAAGCAATTCCATCAACAGACACATCGACTTACAATCAGCCTATGAACCCTTCAGAATCCAAATCAACTGCCCAGCCAACCAGAGACAGCACTGGCCCTCAACCATCCCATGCAAGCCCCCCCCCGCAACCAGCGGTTCACCTCCCAATGACCCTCACCTGATTTAACCTCCCCATCGCAAGACCCAGCACAAGACTCCCACTGATGACTCACACCTGACCCCTCACAAAACCCTCACTTGACACACCCACACCTGACCCATCACAAGACCTGCTGACCCCCTACTGACCATAAACAGAAGAAAACTGACACTGACATCCCCCCTAAACTCCGCTGAAGATGTCACCTAGCCTGGTAACCCACAAGCTTGGAGGACGAACCTTCACCCTCATCCTGCACCCGAGCAACAGGTATTCGACACTGTTGCAATGACTTAGTATTGTAATAGGTAGACTCCAATATAAGTCATAAGTCGAGGACTACCCATCACAAATCTGAAATACAGGTAGTCCTCAACCTAGGAGCACAATTGGGACTGAAGCTTTGGTCACTAAGCGATGCAATCATAAAGCAAGGCGTCATGAGACTGCCTCACTTAGACAGCACAATGCCAGCACTCATTAATCCCATTGTTAAACCAGAATTGTAGATTGTGAAGCAGAGGATGTCCCAGATAGGCCGTGCAGGGATGCCTGTGGGGTGGGTGGGGGGCAGTCCATGCTGCACACAATTTAGAGGGAGGGCTGCTGCAGTACTGCACAAAGGCTCAGCCACTCCTGGAAACCTCAGCTGGCCCAGCAGCGCAGCACAAAGCTATCATACCCAGGAAACCTCACACACACACACACACACACACACACACACCATCTGACCAAGGGGGTTCCCTGCATTGTCTATCTCTCCCCACCCCTTCTAACCCATTTTGGTTGCCCTACACAGTGGCACTCATCAGTGGCAGTGCTGGCACTGGGGCTGAAATAAAGGTTTCCAATGAACTGCCCCACCTCTACTTCAACCCCAGAGCCTCTGTTGCTGCCAAGTGCTGCTCTGCAGGGGGGTCAAAAGGGCATAGATGGGGGGAGAAGGGGGGAAGATGGGGGGGAGAGTTGCAGCGTGGGCAGGCTGCCAAACCCCCAAATTTTGATCATATGTCTTTGGGGGGCCTGCAACAGCCATAACTTCAGGCACAGAGGAACAATTGGTTATAAATTGAGGTCAACCAGTATAACCAAGTGAACATATTAGACATATTAATTTACATTTGTAGACAGTCATACCCGGTTAAAAATAGCACTCAGTTGGCTATACTCCCAGCAATTAGTATTCAGAGATACACTGCCAAATGGGATACTATCCAAACTGTATATTACTTTGAATTCAATTCCAAGATGCTTTAGATTGAACATTTGGGGGGGGGGGGGGGACATAGTACTTGTCTACAATTCTTTAAAAACAGATGTGCTTTTTCCCCAGATCGCATGTCAGCTATGATCATTTAGAAGCCATAAAATTGATAAAACATTTACAGCTTAATGGTTAATTTCCTTCAGTAGTTTAGGATCATCTTTTAAAGTCTGCAGAATCTATTGGTAAAAGATAATATTATGGTAGGTTGCACATTCAGCCAGACATTTAGACTGGATTTGGCATTTTAATCCACCTATCGAATCCTCATTATTTATCACTCAATAAACGTGCATGTTGCTTGATTCTCAATGACTCTGGGTAGCTCAGTCAAATAAGTTACAATAAAAACAATACAAATTAAAAATAAAAATAAAGAGTACAGATTCTCACAGCCCATCCTACCTCTAAAATAAATTGTGGAGATAACAGAGATATCCATGGAAGTGACAGCGAAAGCACCATATAAAATAAATAAGCACATAAGAAAAATCCTACAGAATTGGGCCAAGGAAACATTCTAGGCATTAGCCAAATATATTAATTTAAAAAGCTCACAAACATGGATAGGAGCGTGATGGTCCATCACAACTTTGAGTGGTCATAGTCCAGGACTACCTATATGTAGAATGGTTATTTATAATTACTGGTTTGTTTAACCACAATTGAGTTAAAGGTTGTTTATTCAACACGCTATACCACCTGCACTGGTCTACAAATCATGAGAGATGAATTTACCACCCATATTAAGCCAAAGTATAACAAAAGTCATTATAGCTTAGCATCCTCTCAGGTAAACTTAGGTAAACTCAGGTAAACAGTAAACTTAATGTACCTGGACTTTTAGTTTAAAATCTTCATTTTCTATTAGTTGGTGCATTAAATTCTCAGCTATTCCTACACCCCAATGATGTAGAAGTCCTGGGCAAGTACCGTATCTGAAATTAATAAGGACTTGGTGCAGATCTGAATAAAACAAGCTCAGATCAATACCCACAATGAAGGAGTTCCTAGTGATGAGTAGACTTCTGCACACCCCAATAACACTATCCTCAGGACTCAAGAAATGGCTGTGCTCCTCTCACAGATGGTCTGTGACATCAGTACTTCTGCCTTGACCACCAATTAGACCAAGGGTCTCCAAACTTGGCGGTTTTAAGACTTGTGGACTTCAAGTCCCAGAATTCCTCAACCAGCATGGCTGGCTGAGGAATTCTGGGAATTGAAGTCCACAAGTCTTAAAGCAGCCAAGTTTGAAGACCCCTGAATTAGACTATTTTGACATACTTTATATGGGCTGCCTTTGGAGACAACCTGGAAATTGTATAGATGGTGCAAAATGTAGCAACAGGATTATTTACAAGACAAACCTGCCAAAATACATTTGTAATATAAGTAGCTATATTCGTTGCTAGTAGGCTTCTGGGCCCCGTTCAAAGCATTTTAATTTTCTTTTAAAATTATTTTCAATGGTGAAATACAAAAAAAAAATCCTACACCAATAACAGAGATAATGATTATACAGTGATTATATAATGATTATGATTCTACGTTGAAGAAAATACAGGTAGTCCTCAACTTACAACAGTTCATTTAGTGACCGTTCAAAGTTACAGCAGCACTGAAAAAAGTGACTTATGACCCTTTTTCACACTCACGACCGTTGCAGCATCCCTATTGTCACATGATCAAAATTCAGATGCTTGACAACTAGCTCATATTTATGACGGTTGCCGTGTCCCGAGGGGGTCGTGTGATCCCCTTTTGCAACCTTCTGACAAGCAAAGTCAATGGGGAACAGAAATTACCTGATCAGTTGTGGTCATAAGTCAAGGACTACCTGTCATAGCATCCTACATTCTAGAAAAAACAACAACAGTGGTTAACTTACCAAGAGAATCTGCTTGATTTTCAACTGTTTCATTCACCTTCTTAGCTACTCTGGCAACAGCTTCACCCATTTTTTTCTCCATGCAGGAATATCCAATCATGAAAATCCTTTAAGGAAGGTCCTGCAGCTAAGCAAACAAATACAAAAAAATTCACAAAAAATACTTCACAAAGGGTTAGAAAGCAGCTTTTCTGAAAGAAAAAACATCAGTGTGTACAGCAGTGGTTCTCAACCTGTGGGTCGGGACCCCATTTGGGGTCGATCGACCATTTCATGGGAGTCGCCAAGCAAGGCTGTCTGCCATTTTTTTTGTCCGCCATTTTTTTGTCCGCCATTTTTTCCCCTTTTTCCGGCGGGTGCCTTACCTCCCTTGGGCTGGGCCAGCTGGTGGTCGGCCTGCTCCGTCTCTGCCGCTTGCCAGCTACGCCTCGGCCGGCGCAGGGGGCGGAACCACGCATGTGTGGCGCTCCCGGGCAGGGAAAGTCCTCAACTTACGACCGGTTGGGTAGTCCTTGACTTACGACCGGTTTAGTCCTCGACTCACGACCGGTTTAGTCCTCGACGTACGACCGGTTTAGTCCTCGACTTACGACCAGTTGGGGTCGCGGCATTAAAAAGGTTGAGAACCACTGGTGTACAGTACTTAAAATTTACTGTGTTCTGCTAATGTTTAACAGATTAACATACCTGAAGGAGCAACAGGTTGTTCCTTCCTATGAGCTGGACATTTACAGAGAAACAAATTCAATAAGCAGGTACATCCTGGAACGTAGCTCTTCATCAGGATGGGTACATGTGTGGGAAGTCAGAGCCCCAAAGAAGGAAATATTAAAAAGGCAGGAAAAAAATATTTTTCCTCAAAAAGGATTTTTAAAACCAAAAACCAAACCTGGCATCATCTCTTTGCCCCAAGCAGGAACCAGCCCTATAGAAATGCAGATGTGGGACCATCAGGAAGGTTGGAGCTAGGGAGCTCAAGTCAAAAGAACCTCTTAAGAGTCATTAGCCCCATCCCCAGGGAAGCAGATGACTTTTGGGACATAATAGGACTAACCCATTACCATCAAGTAATACCAGAGGGGCACACCTGGGCTCAGGTCAGAATACGTGACACAGGAAATAGCCTCAAAGTTCATGCCACAGGAACAGGAAGACTTCCAAACAAAAAGCTAGAGAGGGTATAAAATGCTACTGGCCATGTGCTCAGTCTCTTCTTCTCTCCTCTGCTCTTTCCTGAAGAACCATCTTTCTGCTTCTGCAATAAACTGTAACCATCTTC